AGGCAGTGTGCTTGTTGCTTTTGGGCAGGTCGACCCTCTTAGTATGCTGTCAGCTGCATCCTCCAGAGTCTCAGTGTGTCATTTAATATGCTCAGTATTTCTACTCTCATGTGCACAAGTGTTATGTTAAATCTGTCACTCCAGCACAAAGCAAAGGAACGTCATCACTGTTGTTTTCACAGAGTGAAAACTTCAAATACCTGCATTTGTATCATCTTCTAGGGTTTGCTGCATAAGCTAGTTGCTACTGTGAGCTTAGAGACTCACGTAGTGCACCTGATACACTCAGGGGATTGGCCTCATACATGAGCACACATGGAGGGACTCTCCCTGAGAAAAGGCACTTGTTACCAGCCCACTGTGACTCACTGGCACTGGCCATGTGCTGCTGTTGGTGTGTGTGTCAGGGAGATCAACAGGGTGTGGAGTCAAAAACAGAAAGCGAGACAGAGACGGGGAGAGGGAGCCATCAAAAACACAAACAAGGAGCAGAGCTAAACTCTGGGGGTGCAGTGAGAGCACACCTGTTGTGCAGATGACAGTGATGGTCTGTGTCGGGTGTCTGCTGCCACAGCTGACCCCCCCAGCCTGTGGTTTGATGTTACATTGGGTCGAGTGTGTAAAGAACAGAGTGGGGTTTGACTGCAGCTGCTACAGTTGCCATGAGTCATGTCAAGATTTAGATCAATAAGTATAAGGGTCATTTATAGTGCCTGTTACATAACACGAGTAAAACTTTGCTGTCTGTAAGTGGCACAGACATAGCAGCCAGCGAGTCACCAGAGGAGAGCTGGACCGACCGAACAGAAATGTCTTCAGCACGCGCTGTTCGCTACAGCTCCACTGCTTTTAAAGCCAGTCACTGTGTCTGTGGGTCAACAACTAGCCTGTGTTCATGTGTTTCCAACGGGGAGGTTATTATGGATTCAACTGCAAAATGATAAGATTGTGGAGTCATTTGGTTTGTGGGACTGAAGATAAGATAAGATAAAAGTTTTCCTGTGAAGGAAATCATGTTGTTCTTCCTGGATCTTGCAGCTCAGCTTTATGATGGTGCAACAATATATGGCTGTAGAAACAATCAATTCAGTTAGGATGCAGCTATTCAGTCACTTTAAAGACAATTAGTTAAAACCATCCAGCAGGTGAGGGTATGTGAGCTGTGAGAGACTGACAATGGGTCACATTTTCTCTTGCACTGTCCCTGCTATGGCAAGTTTGTTTAATAGTGATGCTGTAAACCATTATGGAAGCAGATTCATGTTTTGATGGTGCCATCTTAAAAATGCATGACACAATAAGAAATACTTGACTGAAGAAGACTACCTGGCCTAGCCACAGGGAGGAGGTGGCCGAGCCACAGAAGGCCACGGCTCCCTGCTTTCCCCTCCTTTGCTTAGCATGTCTGGACAGTCCGGCTGACCTTATGTCTAGAAAGGTTTCTGATCCAGGGTGTTTCTCACCCACAGCCTCAGGCCCTCCCTTTTGTTTGAGGCCTGTCCATCTCTGCTCTGCGGTTTTGTTATTTTCTTTTTGCTGTAACACCTGGGAAAGCTGCAGGGGAAACAAACTGCTGCCGGCATTCCAGCACATT